TCAGACAAACAGTCCACGCGTTTTTACTACGTCTCGACATCCGAGATTGGCAACAACTTTTCAAATAAATCACAAAATGTTACACGTAAATTTAAATTCACTTTCGTTTAAAAATAAAATGTTCAAAATTATCCAATAACAGGACAGGAAAATTCAGGTTTGACGCAACAACACAAATACCCGGCCAATGAGATCAACCCAAATTTGAGTTCAGTTTACTCATAAATCCCAAAAAGTGCAAGAACTCAGCGATGAGTAAATTTGCCTCATGTTTTTCCAGGAAAAAATTCCCGAACATTGTGGATTCTCTCATTGGTAGTCACATAGGTACTACTCCAAGACTGAGTAAAATTTTCCTCATTTTCCGGCAGATTTTGTTGTTGGTTGATCTCATTGGCAGTGCACGTATTTTTTTTTCAGCGCGGTCTTCTACCAACCGGTGGAAACTAACGATTCTAAATTGGCTCACTACTTGACTAGCCTCTTGGTCCCAAGCAGTGCTGCAAAATCTCGACATGCACGGTGATATTGACAATTCCGCTTTGGTCACTCAATTGAGCTAAGAGTCACAGTCAAGGCAAACCATGTCAATTGTCAGTGACAATTCTGTCAGTGACGAACATGTACATATTTTTTTTATTAGTTAAATTTTTAACGAAATTAAATGACTTGAGCAACACAATTACATGGAGACGTTAATGTGAACAAGCATCTACGTCCTGAACTGCTTGGATAACAATAATGTGACACAGAATATAAAGGGTGTCCACGATGAAATTGCCACACTATGAAATTGCTCTAACTTTTTAACCGTTGGGTAGAATTTAATGAAAATTTGGGTGGATTTAGTTCATAGTGCATTATTTACATCCTGCAAGTTTTAAAGTCCTGTGATCAAAACTCGCGGAAATGGAGTCGAAAGAACAGCTCGTGCGTGATAAAATCTTGCGCATTCATCACGAGAACAAGGATCTCTCGCATCGTTCCATCGCTAAAACGTTGGGAATCGCGAATTCCACGGTGTCTCGAGTGATTAAGCGGTTCGAGGAACGGTTGACCACCGATCGGAAGCCCAGAAGTGAAGGAAAAAGTATTCCGTACAACACCAAAAATCACAACCGCGTAGTTGGGGCCTTCAACCGAAATCCGAACGCCTCCGTTAGGGATGTGGCTAAGAAGCTGCACCTAAGCCGAAGTTTTGTCCAGAAGGCCAAAACTAAGGATGGGCTTCGAACGTTCAATGTACAAAAGGCCCCTAATCGCGACGATAAGCAGAACAAGTCCGCCAAAACCCGTGCCAGGAAGTTGTACCTCAACATGCTGACGAAAGTTGAATGCTGCATCATGGACGACGAAACATATGTGAAGGCCGACTTCAAACAGATCCCCGGCAACCTGTTTTTCACGGCCAAGGATAAGTTCAGCGTTCCGGAGCATGTCCGCACTCAGAAGATGTCCAAATTTGCGAAGAAATTCCTGGTTTGGCAAGCCATCTGCACGTGCGGGAAGCGGAGTGCACCTTTCGTGACCCAGGACACGATGAATGGACAGGTGTACATAAAAGAGTGCCTCCAGAAGCGGCTGCTTCCTCTCCTGAAGGCCCACAACGTCCCAACAATCTTCTGGCCGGATTTGGCCTCATGCCACTACTCCAAGGACGTGCTGAAGTGGTATGCGGACAATAAGGTCAATTTCGTGCCGAAAATGTTCAACCCTCCCAACACTCCGGAGCTCCGCCCCATCGAGAAGTACTGGGCGATTATGAAGCAGCACCTTCTTAAACGACCTAAGGTAGTGAAGACAGTCGAGGAACTGAAGAAAGTATGGGTTTACATGCAAAAAACGGTTGATTCACAGGCTGTGCAGAATCTTATGGCCGGGGTTAAGGCCAAGGTGCGGGCATTTGCGTATGGACTGTAAATAAAATACGAGTAAAATGGTAAAATGAAGTTTAATAGTTATTTCTCAATCCCTGAAAATTTAATGGCAATCGGATGAAAACTCGAATTTTGCGAATCAATTTTGTGTGTGGCAATTTCATCGTGGACACCCTTTACGAAATTACACTTTTTGTTACCAGGTGATTCTTTGTCATTGACGAAAAAATGAGTGAGATTTTGACGAAGGTTTTTTCGAGGATCAAGTCTGTCAGTGACTATGTGACGAACAATTTGGACAATATCGCGCGAAAGTCTGTCAATGACAATGACAATTCTCAGCACTGGTCCCAAGCAAATCGATTAACGTACCCCATTCTAGTCGAAATTCTAGTACTACACTATGTTTGTTTTGATTCGCTATGAAAGTTTGACAGATAAAATGAGGGGTTCGTGGATTTTCCTATGTTTCGAGGGGTGTATCGATTAGCTTGGGACCGAAGATAGTACCAGAGCTGAGCCAAAAAGTTGAGCATGATTTTTCGGGACCTTCTGGTCTTAGATTTACCTCTATGCTTCTACGTTCTTTCTTTAGTAAGTTTCCTCTAATATTTGCTCTGCCTGGCCTGAGAGTAGCTCACAATTGAGTCGAATTCGACTCAAAATTGCAAAAAGTGAGGTATAGTAGATGAGTAACATTTCCCTCGATTTTCCACCAAAATTTACTCAGGTTCCGAATATACGAGAGAGCGTCGTGATTTTTTGAATCACTGTTTGAGACTCGTATCAGATACATACTCGTCGCCGGGATTTTTTGAGGCATAAAATCTCTGTTCACGCCTTCCGCCGGAAGGGAAGTAAAGCCAATGAGCTGGATTACCGAGATGAAGCAGTCGGTTAAGTTGTGCGAGTAAAACACCTGTCGATACAAGCAATTAGTGACGTCACTAATTGCGTTTACGTTGATTTTTTGGATTACTAATACAACCATATTTCACGACCTACTTCACCTCTCTCTGTACCTCATTGAAGTAAAGCCGTTGATTCCCGATCCATGAGTTGATGGGTCGATAGGTAGGGTCCAGGTGTGGGAGCTGCCTCCCTGGCTGGCGTCGGTAGCATTGGTGCTCAGCACGGAAAACAAGATCGACGGAAAACAAATCAAGGAACAAACAAAAAATCACATTCGTGGCCATGAATTCATTAGCAGAGCAAGAATTTCTCAAGAAATCATCCTACAAATGTATTTTTGTTTTCTTTTTTCATTCCATTGAACGTCTCACTCATTTTCAAAAGAAATACTTTGAAATTTACCAAGTAGATATTTCTCGTATTTTTTACGAGAATTTCTACAGGAAAATTCCATCTAAAATACTTCATTACTGAAAATACTTCTTTCAGGAACCAAAAACAAAAATCTCTCAATAACGGCTTATGGCTTTTTAGTTCTCTCTCGAAATCTCCTTAAGATCAGTTATAAGTCATAAATTCCTTCTGAAATCCATTCCAGAATTTCGTTTGAAGTTTCTCCAGATTTATTTTATTTTCGGTATCTTCGGAATTTTCCTTCTTTAGCAACACTTCCGAGAATGTTGCCTAACTTATACCGGCATTTCTCAAGGAAATTAGTTTTGATATTTCCCTAAACATACTCTCTGCTACAACATGTTGCATCATCTAAATTATAACTGAAATCAGTTACGTAGCAAATGTCACAACAATTCTACTAGGGTGCCCCCGGGGTGCTGAAACACTTGAATCAATGTGAATTATCACCCATTTCGGAATTGCTGCCCGTTCTTCTGCTTCGAAACAACCACACAGATATTTATTTCAAAAGTTTTCATGTAAAATGGGCCATCCCCCCACAGACCCATTAGTTCTGTTTGTAATTGACGAATGACTGGATACAAATTTTCACCACCTTTGCATTAACAATGCCCATCAATTTCCACCATAACAAAAAGAGAACCCTCCAGGCACTGGGTATGCGCGGTCATTTCTTGGGAGACGATTGTACTGTTGCTGCTACTGCTGCTTTCCCTTCTCTTATCCTCCCGGGGTGGGCATCGATCGAAGCGACAATTCCAAAGACGCTAGACCAAATAACAACACAACGACAGAGGTAGATTACAATGCGTTTCTATTTTGACATTTCAATAACTTGGATTGTCTATATCTCCGCGCGAAGTGCTCTATCATTCGACCCGGCCAAATTCGCATTTCGTGAGGGGCGACGATCCCTGCCCTATTTCGTTTTCGACCACGCGTGTGTGTGTGTGTTTGTGTTGTTTCGTGTTTGTGTATGTGTGTACGTGACTTTCTGTGAACCTTCTCTCCCTCTCTTCCTGTATGTGAGTGTATGTGTGTGTGTATCCCAGCCTACTAAGCTTACTAATTTGTTAAGCCATTTTTCACTCCTGTTGTGGTTGGGAAAATTGAAAAGAAATAAGTTGGAACTGTTAATCGAAAAACTTTCTCAGGAAGTACACGCATACAAAAGAATGGAGGTGGGGAACACAAAAATCAACACATTCATTAATCAGCATTTGATTAGAGGTAAAAGTCAAATTTGAAAAACAAAACAACAATCAAATAGAACAAATGAGAGGGGACGGAATTTTTGTTGGTGGTAGTAGTAGTAGTGGGTGGTGATGTTTGGGCAATAGTTGTTGTAGTAGTAGTAGTAGTAGTTGTAGTTAGCTTAAGGCGAGTTGTGGAAAAGGGTTGCAGTTAGACATTGAAGAACGAAACGGAGAATGGTGGTAGTAAATTCACGCTTAAAATCAATCGGTTCTGGTTCTGAGGGTGGCAAGGGAAAACGGGTAAATTAAAACTTTACAGCAATATGAGGGGGGAAAAAACAGAAAGATTTGAAACCGAAATATCTGAAGGAATAATAACGAGATGCACGAGATTAATGTTGCGTCAATCAATCGAAGTAATATAAACGTTTGATCATTATTCTTTTTTCTGTTTTCGTTTATCGGCAAATTTTCGTTAAATTTTGAAGTTCCTGGATTGTATTTTTTTTTTTTTGAATTTCAAATATATATAGAATACGACTTGTGTGCTAATATATAAATCAAATTTATATACTGTATTCTACTTTATTGTTTATACCTATTATGTGCTGATTATTGTGAAGTCTTTGATCTTCATCAATATACTTAAGATCGCCAACATTAGTACCTATTAGCCGGCCGGTTGGGATGTTGGAACCTGGTGGATATAAGAGATTTGAGAGACCTTGACTAGTCATTGTACCACTCGTGCTCATGCCTCCGGGATGACTGCGTGAACTTCTAAGACTATGCAAGCTATGAATGGAACGACGTTCTTCTAAATCTTCTAATGTGGATCGAAATGCACGTACAACACGAAGCTGGGTCTGCAGCCTAGTAAGGCCACGGATCCATAATATCTGACCTGCACGGGGTTTCTTGTCATTATCCATCGAGTCGTAGCGCTCCTCGCCGAGTCGGATCGCTTCAGTGTACTCGGCTTCGCCACGACCCCACGCCATCTTCTTCGGCATCTTGCGGGTGGGAATCGACGTGACGACCTGGCCCCAGATTAGCGTTCCGAGGCCAAAGAATACACTCCACAGCCATTGTTCGATGTTGAGCGCCTTGGTCGAGAATGCCACCTTGCCGAATTGGATGATGAAGAGTTGCGACACCAGAGTGAGAATCCAGATGCTGTAGAAGATAGGGTTCGTGAATAAACCCTCGAATATATTCCGCTGACCGTGAATTTTGCGAGCATTCAGCTCGTTGAAGAGCGTCATAAAGACGAACACGTTGAAGATGATCGTGAAATGCTGTGTCGCTCCGGAATTTAGCGGTTGGCCTCGACCCGACTCGATGTCCAACAGTCGATCACCGACGAACAGGAGTCCGAAGATAATGATCAACTGATAGACTGCTTGACCCAGGATGTTCTTCATCATTGTGCGTGAGATCAGTGGTTTCGTTCGGCCGTACGGTTTACGCAGCAACAGATCCGGTGTAGGCATTTCGGTGGCCAGTGCCAACGATGCCAACGTGTCCATAATCAAGTTCATCCACAACATCTGTACGGCCTTCAAGGGAGAATCTTGTACGGCACAAGCACCGATGAACGCCACAATCACAGCTACCACGTTGACCGTCAGCTGAAACTGTAAGAATTTGGCAATCGAATCATACACATTCCGCCCCCACATGACGGCTTTGACGATACTGCTGAAATTGTCATCGGTTAGAATAATATCGGAAGCTTCCTTTGCCACATCGGTTCCAGCAATTCCCATGGCAAATCCAACATCCGCCTTCTTCAAGGCGGGGCCGTCGTTCGTTCCGTCGCCAGTTACAGCAACCACCTCACGATTGTCCGAAACCTTACTGTCGATGATACCCTTGACCAGGTTGTACTTATCCGTAGGCGATGATCGAGCCAGAACCCGCAAGTTTGGCCACACCTTATCTAGCAGGTGTTGCTGAATGTCCCCATTGCTGTCACGGATACGCCGATTGAATTCTTTACCTTCCAGGATCAAGAAGTCATCCTGAGGCCGAATGATGCCACACTTGGTAGCAATCGACCGCGCAGTGTTTATGTTGTCTCCGGTAACCATACGGACGGTGATGCCTGCTCGCTGGCACTTTCGGATAGCGTCCGGAACTTCCGGTCGCACTGGATCTTCGATACCGACCACACACAAGCACGTCAAATTGCTTACGATATTTTCCTCGTCCTCCCAGTTCGGTTCGCCGTCGCAGTGCACTTGATTGATCTCGGCCTTACCGGGAACAAAGTCTCTAAACGCGAGACAAATGGTTCGCAGACCGTCGCATGCCATTGGTTCGATCACCTGATGCAGCAACCGTTCTTGCATGTCACGAGTAAACTTCTCCAACACACCGTCCTGGCCATAGATGAAGGAGCACTTCTTGAGAACAATCTCCGATGCACCTTTGCAGTAAACTCGGTAGCCACCGCTGTGCTTTGGAATAACGGTACTCATAGACTTTCGAACCGAGTTGAACGTGTACACACGGGTGAAGGATTCCTCCGGATTACTGTCCCGGTACGTTTGGTAACTTTTGCCCAATCCTTGCACGAATCCAAGCAGAGAGCATTCGGTTTTGTTACCAACCTGCTGCAGCGGATCTCCCGGATTAACGCCCGGCATCAGACACGTCGTATAGGCCGAGTTGAGTGAAATGCCTTCGACAACTGCTTCACCCACTACTCTCGGAATGTCGGAGTATTTGGGTGTCACCTTGCATAGCTTCTCGCAGATGTACGATTGGACCACGGTCATCCGATTGGTGGTCAGTGTTCCGGTCTTGTCCGAGCAAATGGCAGTGGCATTACCCATGGTTTCGCAGGCATCCAAATGCCGTACCAGGTTGTTGTCCTTCATCATCTTCTTGACCGAGTAGGCAAGCGACAAAGTGACGGCCAGCGGCAAACCTTCCGGTACGGCAACGACCAGCACGGTCACACCGATGATGAAATGCTTGACCAGGTTGTTAGCATACGAGTTTCGCCAGTGTTTCTGTTCGATGACAAAGGTTTGGATGCAGAATTGGATGATCAGAATGATAACGGTAAGGACAGCAATCGTCGAGCCGGCATAACCGATCTGAATGGCCAGTTTAGTAAGTTTCGCTTGGAGAACGGATTTTTCCTTGGTTCCTCCGTGACCTCCGCCCTCGCCGCCTTTGCTTTCTTCACCATCATCGGATGTAATGGAATCCACTGTCGTTTGAGATTTCAGAGCCGGATGGTGGCTGTTGTTGGTAATTTCATCGCCGTCCTTCGGTTTCTTTGACTTCTTGGCATCCTTCTTCTGCTTTTTGGCAGCTGCTTCATGCTCATCTACAGCCGCACCCAGCAGGGTGAAGATGATACCGGCCTGCGAGTTAACACCGACAGCTGTGACGACCATCTTTCCGCTACCTTCCATCACGTGAGTTCCGGACAATACCATCGGGTCCGTCGATTCACTCTTCTTCACATGGTCCGATTCACCCGTCAGCGAAGATTCATCAACTTTCAAATCGTTACTTTGAATCAGTATACCATCGGCCGGCAGAAGATCACCGTACTTGACCTGGCAGATGTCGCCCACGACGATTTCACCGATATTGATCTGTACTGCATCGCCACCGCGGATAACGGCGAATTTGTGCTCGCCTTCGATTCGCGATTGTAGCCCTCGGAATTGCTTCTCCTTCGAGTAGTCATTGAAAGCCGTCACAATCACGACTACAAACACCGATACTAAAATGGCCAAGCCTTCGATCCACGCATAGTGCTCTTCTTCCTCTTCGAGTTCTTCTTCATCATCGTCCGCTGGCTGGTAAAACGAGAGCAGCAGCGAGATGATGGCAGCAATTTCCAGGATAATCAGCGTAACATCTTGTAGGGCTTCCCACACTAGCGTCAGGAAGGATTTCGGTGGTTTCGGAGGAATTGTGTTGGATCCGAACGTTTCTCGCCGGTGCTCGATATCCGCTTGCGACCCACTGAGGCCATCGTTCGGGGACGTGTACAGTTTCTTACAAATTTCGTGCACACCGCCGTACTCGTTAATCATCGCCACTCCTTCCCGGCCTCGGTTTTCCATAATTTCGCGCAGATTCTTCAGAGTAATCTGGTACTGCGCCGGTCGTCCGTCTATCGTCGCCATCTTGGTTGCTTTCTAGTTATCGTTATTGGATTTACTAACTTCGATTTAACTTACTAATTAATGGTTGGTTGTTTTGTCTAAGACTTATCTTCTTCTCGTCTGCTTCTTCTGACTCCTTCTTTCTTAAAGCGGGGGGTGTGACTGTGTTTTGTTAGTAGTAAACTTGCGATATCCTTAACAACTAATCCTTCCTTGCTCGTCACGCACTAGTCGCGAATCTAGTGGTAGTAGAATATGTAGTACTAGTAGTAATATATCAATCTGTGTGTGTCAAGTTAAGTTATGCTTCTATGGTTGTAAAACTCTCCCTTCGTCTTGCGTAATCCTCTTTATCTTAGGAGCTGAGGCCGTCGGTTTCTACAGGATCGACGCACGCCACCAGCAGCAGCAACCGATCGTGATGGAGATGTATGTATTCAGCGGTGCCTTCCTCTCTGCTACTTCTGCTTAATATTCTTCTTCTTCTTCTTCTTCTTCCTTCGAACAGAAAAACAAAAACCGCGAATCCGAATCACTTCTAACTAACTGCCATGTTGTGTCCGTTCGATTTGGGTTTCCGGTTGTCGGTTGAGATTTGCTCCTACCAAATCATAAAACCACACACATCAAGGCTCCGAGCACAGTAACACCATTTCACTTTTTCTCCGGATTTGCTTCGTCTCGGAAAATTCTGAATCGATTATTAGAAATCGTCTCTTCTTAAAAAAAAAGCACACACACACAAACAATCTCTTCACGTGACTGCTTTCCGTTTGATCCGGACCGCCGTCGCCCGCGTCCTAGAGTGTCAGATCTGGGCGGCGGATATGATGAAGGAGTTGAGATGCTGCCGTGATGATTGTTTCGATTTTTGGTCGATTGCTGGTGGCTGTTTCCGTTGTTCCACAAATAAAACACCGGGTTCGGTCGATTTTTATCTAAAAATGAAAAAAATGGAAAGAGAAAAGAGACGAAAATGAAAAATCAATCGCTACATCGTTCAATGGGGTAAATGTTGTCTTCGGCGTTTTTTGTTTGGTTGAGTTGGTGTTGAAATGGGTTGTTCATAAACTAGAGGGAACAGTTGATAAGAGGTTTTCAGGGTGGTTGTTTAAAAATTAAATCTCCCGGACTATTCCGGTGATAAAAGTTGGATAAAATCAAACCTGTTACACGGGACATATAGGTTTACTATTTAGGATAGTTGGAGGCGAACCAGCCCCAAGCTGAAAGCCTCCCTAATAAAGATAAATTAATTAATTATTTAGGATAACTTTTGACCCCTAGGCCCCTAGCTAGCAGAGTGGAAGCTTACAACTTGGATTAGCGAGAAATTGAACGTATAGAATAATAATAAATAATAAGAATGTCTTTAAATCTGTTGTCAGCTCGGACAATCTAAGTTGCAAAATTAGATTAAAAAAGAAAGTTTAAATCCATAACAGATTTGCTACAAAAAGAATTTTTAACCATTTTTTAGAAGAATCTCAACGGAACTGTTCGAAGAAATTCAAATGAATTCTGAGAAAAATTTAAAATTGAATTTTGGGAATGCTGAGCCAAAATTTTATGATAAATCTGCATCAATTTTCACGATGAAGTCCGAGTGCAATTCATAGGAATATTCTAAGCGTAAATTTCTAAAGGGTAATTTTTCTAAGGCAATCTCACGAAAACTATTGAGAATACCGTATGCGAGATAATGTTTACACCATCGTACTAATAAGGTTCCCTTTTCACCTGTGCATACAATGCCTTGGTTTTCTTTGCATGCACGTAACTTGTAGCTCATACCGTAGTAGTAGGCTGTGTATAAAAGAAAATGATTTACTTAGTTTGACAGTTGCACCATGACGAAGTGGCAACGTATTCGTGATTTGTCCCACGCGCAAATGTCGCAAAAGACATTTCAATCGCCGTGGGAGTGTCTCGGTGGACCGTCAAAAGGGTTTTAGACCGAGGAAAGAAAGGACAACTATCCGCGAAGGTGGCCACAGGTCGTCCGAGGTCAGCTCGGGTTCCGAGGGTTATCGCTGCTATCAAAAGGAAGATTAGGGTGAATCCAGTACGTTCAATAAGGAAAATGGCAAAGGAACACGGGATCAGTGACTTTACGGCACGGGTAAAAGAAGATTGCGGGCGAAGTCGAGGGCACGGAAAAAACTCACATGATTACCAACCGCATCCGGGAACGATGCAAGAAAATCTTGAACTTCCTTAAGCGAAAAAATCCGGTAATCCTGTTCACCGACGAGAGCATGTTTACCGTCGATCCCGTATCAAATTCCAGAACCGACCGGTATATTCGTTCTCTTCCGGTAAAAGATGTGGCCGACGAGCACAAGAACGTGTATCTGACCTAGCATCCTGCTAGCGTTATGGTGTTTGGATTGGTGGCTTCCGATGGCAAAAAAAATGGACCCGGTGTTCATTTCAGAAGGCGACAAGGTCAACACGGAGATCTACATCGGGATTTTAAGTAAGTATGTTCTTCCGTGGATGAAAGAACAGTACGATCCGAAGCCAAATGTTGTATTTCAACAAGATGGGGCTCCGTGCTACACCTCGAACCGCACTCAGAAGTGGTTGCAGGAACATCTTCCGTTCTGGGCGAAGGATATGTGGCCGCCATCCAGCCCCGATCTTAATCTGCTGGATAACTCAATATGGCGCGTCATGAAGGCCAAGGCCTGTTCTAAACGCCACCCGAGTCCAGCAAGCCTCAGACAAACATTGACCCGTACTACCTGGAGATAAATGGTCCAGACTACATTATTAGAACCTGCCGTGCATTCCGGAAGCGTGTGAAGGCCGTAATTGCAGCAAGTGGAAACTCGATCGACTCTGAGAAACATCCCCCCTTTGAATAAATTGATTGATTGATTTATCTTTATTAAGGAGGCTTTCAGCCTGAGGCTGGTTCGCCTCCAACCTTAGAATAAATAAAAAAAAACTCGAAAAAGTTTTTTTTTTTAATTTTAACATTGCTCAATGGTGCAAACATTATCACGCATACGGTAACTGCTAATAGACTCGGAACCGACGGTAACAGTTGAACGAAACAGGCGAGAAACTGAAAGAATATAAAAAACGTTCTCACCGAACACAGACTGAACAATAAGATCTAAAATCAGTGTGTGAGGTGTTTTTGGCTCCGAATCAACCCATTTGGATTTATGTTATCTACTGAAACATAGTAATTAACTCTTTATCAATAACAGAATTACAATTATGTTTAAAGGTGGGAGTGATTTGGTATTTCTAGGTACATGTAAATATACTTTTTTTTTAATCCCTGTCGGGGTTTTTCATCACTGCGACCATTTTTCTGATTTATTGTGATATATTCCCCATTTTTTAGCTATATCAAGATGCCGTATCACTATTATTCGGAGTGATCGCAATTTTTTGACTAATAGCATCATCCCAGCAAGGCATTACACTTCGAAAAAAGTGCACTGCCGTACTGGGAGTTGTTTTCCAAATATCAAAGGGTTCTATCAGCTCTTTGTCGAAGAACTTACGCCTTTTATTGAAAATAGCTGGGCAGTGGCATAGCAAATGTTCCGAGTCTTCCTTTTCTATACCACATATTGTACATATGCTAAGATCTTTCTTAGAAAGTTCCAGGATTTTGTGGGTCACAGAAATGTTTGGATTAATGAATCGCTTCGACTGCCTAGCAATGGAAGTGTTCTTTCAGTTTTCCTCCACTTTTGAAGACTCCCACGCTTTTAGCTTCATTCTAAGAGATGCAGCCGATAAGCCAGAAAATGGCTCTGGCCCGATGAACTCATGAGAAGATCCGAGTCTTACTAGTGCATCAGCTCTTTTATTTCCGTGAATCCCGCAATGACCAGGAACCCAATATAAGTTGACTTTCAGAATCGATCCTGGACGAAGAATCGGGCCACCAAATTGCCATGAATTACGCCCAGAGTAAACTACTTCAAAAAGTCGATTGAAATGGTATCTTTTCTCCATTCAGTCTTCATTGTTCCTTACTAGAGAGTTGATTCTAAAAGGCCTCCTTCAAAGAGTTTCACTGATCTTGTAATCCTTAGAGCACACTTTTCGGTTTCTAAGTGTACACATTGATGCACTGGTATCATATAAAGCAAAGCATTCAATACCTTTGGTGGTGTACTTCTCATTGCACCTGTTATTGAGAGAGTTGCTAACCTTTGGAGTTTTTCTAACTTTTTCTGAGCAACACTCTTTTGTTTTTGGCCACCAGACCAATGCACCATAAGTAACCCTGGGTTTCATAATTGCCGAGTAAATCCAATAGATCATTTTCGGTTTCGGTTTACCGAATGTTCTTTTGCATATCCATAGAGCATTAGTAGCTTTGTTTATTGCCTGCTCTAGATGCATGTTCCAATTAAGTCTACTATCAAGGATTACTCCAAGGTACCTGTAAAAATATATTTGAAAGCGACTTAGCACCTTTAAATTTTCACTCGATTCTGTGATCAACACTGACGTCTCTATCGTCAATCCAATTTATTCGAAAAAAAAACAAGAAACGAACGATAAATACACGCTAAGCCCTTACTTGAGGTAAATTCTGTTCAACCTGCAGCACATTTTTAGTTGCGTAGAAGTTTTGTTTGAACGAAATGATTAGTTTTGAATATTTTTTAGCTTTGAAACAGGCACCAATATCACTAATGTGAAATTCAGAAACGGGTAAAATAATTGAAACAAGATTATTTTCCTGGTGGATAATTGGAATTCCCAACTTTTTTCTCACATTAACCTGGTGCAAATAAAATCCCAACTTTTTTCCGGTTTTCCTGGGTGGCAATTATTTTGACTACAGTAGATAAAATTAGTCCCAAAGAATAATCCAAAACCTTACTTAAAATTGGAGAAATCTTTGTTTCAGATAAGACTAAATTAAATTGCAAAATTGTTCATATTGGCCCGGGTGAATAATATCATACACACACACATGTCTAACGAAGACCTTCAACTGAAAGACCTAGAGGATGGCATAAAACAAAACTATCCCTGGAATTTGTCTTCATTCAGGCTAACAAGCTTTTCTAGGAATTTTTACGCAGCTGCCGTCATTGTACAAGCTGAAAGGAGAAACATATCTCCCACAGTCATCCACTTCATATCGTTCGAGTGGGCGAAAACTCCTAAGCATCTCAAAGAAAGACATCGATAAAACTAAAAAATACATGCACACAACAGAACTACGGGCATCAGCTTTCTGGCTGCTCAAATATTCAATTCAAGCAAATTTCATTATCCGAAAAACACTTCAACGTTGTCTTCTTCCTCCCAGCAGCACCCATCCAGCGGGATATTCGATAGTAGTACAGAGTGGGTGGTTTCTTCTTCGCCCTATATGTATGCTAATATGCTGCCGCCGACGACGACGATGCTCCGTTTCTTCTCCGGGACCAGATCAGAACAACACACAAGTCTGCCAGTATCTCTCTCCCGCTGTGTGCCTGGTCTTTCTTTGATCTTAAAATACATCCACCTGCAAAACATTTTCCGAATTTTCGTTCCCCCATGTGTACACAGTGTGGTTCACTCCCACCCACCTATGACCAGCCAGCCAGCCAGCCACCCACCTGGCAACCGCCCATCACACACATGACGTTCAGACACTGGTAACATGTACACTGGTAGTTAAAAACAGTCAGCCAATAAATTCAAACGCCCGCCGAAAAAGAAAAACCACACACTTCTCGATCGAAACAAATCGACTACCAATAACACACCACCACCACAAAGGCCAATAGCCAATAGACATTTCGGACAGTAATAACTGCTTCACTTCCATCACCACTACCAAAGGACATGTGAGTCGACTTCCACACAAATCGATCAAAATAGCAGAACGAGAAAAAAAATCAGCACTAAATTATCGGATTGATGAATTACCTTTCACCCCCCCTATCGGTACCGCACCGTA